GATTTTTTTTATCAGAAAGATTTAGATACTTAGATTTATGAACTCGATCAAAGTAACTTAATATATGTGAAAGATACTTATGTGTACGTATATGCTCAAAGTAACTTAATATGTGTGAATATTATGGACCTCAGATATTCGCACGCTTTCTTAAAAAAATATTTTACGTGATTTTAGTCCCCATAAAGTGTTCGGGATATGTTTTGCGTTATTAAATATTTACAGTTCCAATTTTAAACCGTCTTATTTAAAGAAGCATAGAGATGAATTTATTGTAAATGTGAAATTGCGCGTACACTATGTCGAGGCTTGCAGCAACATGTCAACGTTTAAAGTATTATGGCAACAATTACCGTTCTTATATAGTTTTTATCGTGGTAAATGACTTCACACAGCTATTATGATTACACTTTTTGCGGAAATTGCATTTGCAATTGCGATCGTTTAAAAAAAGCATTTCGTATCTCAATTGACAGGTCACGTCGATAACACGATACTGTTTTATCGACTGAGAAAGTCTATTCAACATATCTTTCGCGCGCTTTTCTCTCGATCTGGTTTTTCTAGCTCTTAATGACGATGGGAAATTATTTTTATGCTAGCAAGCGTTGTTTTTGTTTTTATGATATTTTTAGATGGACGTAATTATAGGTTAATGTTTACAACTGCCTGTAAACTGGCATGCAATTCGTTAGCGTACCATACGAATTATAAAATCTTGAATAGTTAACGGGTACTAGTTTGTTTAAGGTAAAATAATCTACCAGTAAATTGTATAAAACATAGTTATTCTACTGAACTAAATTGGTGAAATCTAAATTATTTAAAGATAATAAATCGCGATAAGAGACCGAATCAACAATGAACTGAAAATATTTACAATTGAGCAAAGGCTTCTAAAAATTTCAAACGATTAAATTCCTTCTTTATCGTGCGTCGATCTTTTATCTACTTTCTACTGTGCGTGAAAACCCATACTCGGGTAAAAGTGAGGGGGACATCCATTCTATTTTCGGCATCACATTTTCAGTTTCAGCCAGTGTTCCGCGGACGGCGCGGCAGTCGCCTTGTCGACATTGAAGAAAGAAAAATTGTACAGCAAAATTTTCGAATTTAGAGTTAATCGAGCGTTCGACTTACAAATTACGTTCTTTATTTGAAAAATGACAGTTGATGTGGCGCTCAATACCGTTTCTGGGATTAATATTAAAGTGAGTTCTAATTTTGAATTCAAACCATCAGGAAATATCAGGAAGTCACTTTGTATAAGATATTATTTTCACACTTTCCTAATATGTAGTGCGTGTATTTTTATCCAAAGTAATATTTCACCCTTAGAATAACAAGTGTTCTTTGGTTTTGTTCGAACAAGAATGTGACAAAACAAAATCTGTGGACAGAGGATATTCTGGGCATACAGTTAAATCTAAAGTAGTTTGTACGTGACATCCGTTAAATGAACTTGGACTAGGCCCAGAACGCATTTAGCTATTCGTTACGAATGCAACTGTACTGTAACTTTAACTACCACAACAATTGTTCGAAGAGACCAAACTGTTGTTTTATATTTCCACCTATATGACTTTATCTTGACGATATTTATTGATATTTATTTTGACGACCTCGATGGCCCAATGACGTGCACTATGGGCGCTGGATGAGGAGGTTCCGGGTTCGATTCCCGGTAAGACCAATTTAAGAAATTAACTTTTCTAAATTGGTTCTGGTGAGAGTGTTCCGAACAGTGACCCCGGAGTGAATTTCATTGCTCTGGTACTCATGGTGCAGGGAATTTCCTAGCTTGAGACCAGGTAATTGGTGTCTCCGTCTGGCACATTATTTTTGTTTATCCTCGTTTAGAAGCGTAGATTATAAAACTTCTGGAATTCAACAACATGCTTTGGACCAGCTTGGCCATTGTTGGCTAAAAACAGGGTGACCATATTTCAATTGCCGCTCGTGATTTACATAACAAAAAAATTGGCTAGAAAATATTTCGAATTTGTGAAACAATAATTTGGTTTCTTATACTAAAATGGTCGCACATATTTTGTACTTTTTTGTTACTGTATAGAATTCCATGTGTAGTAATAAAACAGAAAACAAGGAAATTCTGTCAAATCGGCTAAATGTAACAAATATGGACATGTAGTATGTAGTAATACACAGTCTGTAGTATTTCTGGAAAATTTAAACACAACATGTTGATATCTAGAGAAAGGATGTTGATGAATTTCTCTGTCTCGGCATAAACGCTTCAAGACGGTGGATGTGCAATAATTTATTTGTCAAAGATTGTTGCATAGTAGACAATGCGCTCAGCTGTACTTACACCTCTGTTTTAAATTCCTCCTAGCGCTCTTTTTATCACCAACAAGAATATATTGATTACCTGCGAGACTGGGTTTGCCTAGTGCAGAAATCATAGGCAATGTTCTGTACGCGATATACGATGCAATTGAGTTGTTTCCTGGTTCTATGTATATTTAAAATGTAATGTACATCTAGAATCTCATTGAGTTCTTAGGTTTTCGCAATTACATAAAGGAAATGAAACTATTTTTTCAAATAGGAATCGCGTATATTTCTTTTTTATTTAAGCAAACCAACTTTTCGAACCCTTTACTGACTGTGAGCCGTGACCTTGGGACCTGTAAAGTTCTCGAAACCTTGGTTTGTTGAGAAAACAAGTTATTAAACGATTTTGGTCCGAGAAAAGTAGTTTCATTTACTATTTTATATTTTTTTTAGTATTTAAAAAAACAATGCCACTATTATGCAGGTTTTTATGTACTTTCTAAAAACCAAAGTCTAAGCTGAGTACGTTATTGATTGTACTACCTACTTACTATAATTGTTTTTTTTTAATTTTCTTAACGTTACTATTCAGAACAATGAACACTAGCGAATGAGATTTTTTATCTTCTATCATAAATAATAGATTTTTCGTCATAAAACATATCGCATTGTTCCACGCCTTTTTTTCACACTTTCTCCATCCTCCTAATACCGTTTCCAAACATTATTATGATAATAAAAATTTTTGCCTCGTTTTAGAAATAAGTCAATGTGGAATAAAATTGTGAAAATAATAATGTATTCCACTTTCGCAACGGGGTGGTGTACTTTAGAAAAATAGTTTTACATAGCGATTTGAACGTAATCACTTTTTTATATACCTAACTTAAAATCTAGCGGAAATTACAAAGCGTGATTGCAGTCGATGTTGACAAGTTCAAATGTGTACATTGCCAGCATCGTAATCTGAACCTGACAATGTTAATCAAATCTGTAGCAATCGCGTAAAAAATGTATTGTCATTTTTTTAGTTCTTCAGGCCACAGGACATCTTTAACTAGATGAGTTAAATGTAGACAACTTTTAACTGCCTCCGTGGCCGAACAGTTACCATGCTGGTCGGTAGACCGATATGGTAGACCGTTTCGCGTGGTAACGCGAAACGGTCTACCATACGAAATATTTGTATGACCTACATTTATTTCTCTCGTGAGTTTGGTTGTAATTTGTGGTTGCCTATGTGCGTGTTTATAGCACCCGCAATACAGGGTTTCCCTAGTTCGGGGCTATAAGTGTGTGCGTTATTATAAAAAAAAATCGGAAATGTCTTTTTAATTTTATATATACATATAAAGCAATAATATATAAAATATAAAGTGCTCTTGGTATATAATTGAACCACATGTTTAAAATGCTTCTATCACATGAAAGGCATAAAAATAATACCAAGTACATGAAGCAAATTATGTTTATGTGAAGTTTTATAACTATCCTTATTTATGGATAAAAAAGTTTCGACTAATTTCGTTCGTAAAATTCTTAAACCTCTGTTCTGAAAAGTTGTGATTTTGTAGATATGATCTTTTTACACCAAGGGTGCGATTTGTGTCAATACACATTTAGAATAGAATAGACATTTATTGAAACGTCACAACACAGATACAAAAATCAAAACAAAAATTGATAACACAGACAATAAACAAAATAAAGAATACAATAAAAAAAACAACATAAAATAAGACAAATCAGACCAAAAGCAAAAAATAAATATAGACTACAAATTTTGTACTAACTAAACTATTTAATCATATCATTATCATTTCTGCCGACAGATGTCCACTGCTGGACATAAACGCTGGCCCGGCGTTGTTTGCATTAGGGACGCACATTACGACTCGATTTTTATGACGATCGATTCAAGTGATTTTGTGTATCGATTAATTTAAATTCGATTTTTGAGAAAATCGATTCGTCATTAAGGCAAATGGAATCATCTAGATTGTATTTAGAAGTCTCTTTCTGAACCGCTACTGAATCGTAAGGCTAATCCTATTTTATATTGTTCTACAGGAAAAGTAGTTTGGCAATAAATAAGTACAATAAGTCTACAACAATTGGTAATTGTTGCTACTTCTGTACCGCCGAAAGGGCTGTCAAAAATATAATTTTCTTTATAATAATTAATTAATATTAAAACGTGTGTTTTAATTTATTCTAATTTCCATGATTAATTATTATTAAATTTACCTTAATAAAAATTTATATTATTAAAATAAAATAATTTGTAAAACATAATGCAGCGTACATAGACGCTGGAATGGAATGTTTCTTTGTGAAATTAAAAATAAAGTATTTAATTAATAACTTTATTAGACATAACTGGTTGATGACTGTACCACCTCAGTCAACCGTGACCATGGGACATGTAAAGCGCCTGAAACGTTGGTTTGTTTGAAAAAACAAATATACGCGATTTTAATCCGGAAAAATAGTTTCACCTCCTATATGTAACAATCGCGAACACCTAAGAACTCGATAATAATGAGACGATTTTTATGAGATCCATTCAAGAGAATATGATCCGTTCTGTGGATCGATTCAGAAGCATGCGATCCATTATGATCCAGAAAATCGATTCAAAGGAAAAAAATCGTGCATCCCCAGCTCGCATCCATGTATAATATGGTATTTATTTGTTGCAGAGTTCTCAAAACCGACTGCTCATAAAAAATGGACGAGTCGTCAACGATGACGGAATGGAAGACGCTGACGTATACATCGAGGATGGCATCATCAAGTAAGTTTATTGTCCCTAAGATCGACTTTTGTTTGACAATTTTGTAGACACGCCCGCCTTATCGCACAGATGATGTAACAATTGTTGAGCTTCAAACTTAAGTGGTTCAAGCGGGTGTTACACGATTACGACACGCGGTACGACGAAATTTGACAGCATTTATTTTGTTTGCAATCGCTGATGCCCTAGGGTACTCCATTCAAAATAATGCGATGGTAAAATCGTATAGTCCATTTGTACTTAACGAAATGTAAACAATCTTGAGATGTCTATTTAATGAAATATATATTTATAAAATGATTTTTACTTACCTTGAAATACAAATACTTAGCTTCATATGAAATTGCATGCCTTATTTTATACCTATGGATTTGTAAAGTATACGTTTCAATAGAAAGATGTATCAAGATTGTTTACATTTACTTAAGTACCTAAACATATTGACTATAGTATTGCTCGTCAGGTTATATAATTCATAATAATATAATCTACTATATGAGTGTGCATGATATAACTACATAAAAAAAAACAATTCATTCACACAAGTTTTAAAAAAAACCGGCCTCAAAAGTTCGTGGAATTACATCTATTTGCCAAGTTTCATTGAAATCGGTTTCCGGAAATTGCGCGAAACCGGATTCATCCCCAAGTTTGCCACCCCTAAAGGTGGAATATTTTCTTAAAATTTCAATGGGTCCAATACTGAGGTACCGTCTTTCCAACAAAAAAGAATCAACAAAATCGGTTCACAAGGCCGGAGTTATCGCGTAACATACATTAAACAAAGAAAACTCGAATTTAGAACCTCCTCCTTTTGTTTGAAGTCGGTTACAAAGAAATATATACTATCTAAAGAGAAATTTGAAATATTTGTAACCTGCATTAATGTACAAAATGAGTGAAGAATTTTTCTGCAATTATCATAACAAAAAACACTATGAATCATATATTGAGAAGTATTGAAAAAAAAACTTTATTTTGCAATTTACTTATTCATTATTGTATAAGAATGCAATTTAGAATTTTTCGTACATGTCTTATCGTAATTAAGTTAGTTTTTATGTAACCTGAAAACCCACGTTCATACGGATAAAGTCGTGCCGATTACTAGGACATCGAAATCGTCAACCTGTGTGCGTAGTGGTGTCTTGTATTACGTTATATTTTAATCAGTTCAACTGCGTTTTTCGCTGCAGTGCTTTTTTCCCTTGTATCATACTGGGATCTAATTCAGGCTTCTTTGACCTTTCATAGAAGCCTTCACTATTTACTGTCACGCCCATAAGTTTATTAACCTACCGCCGCACCTACCGAAAATGTGACATAGCATTTTCATTTATTCCAATCATATTTCGCCATTTTGTAATAGAGTTGTTCTCCATGAAGTAGAGTCGATATGTAGAACTAGAATTAAACTTGATCTATATGATTAGAGATGACTACAATTGATACATGGACTAGAGTCTATCCATAGATTTGAGGTAATGACCATGTCTAGACTTCTCGACTTTGCGTGACTAAAGTTGTCCCCACTAGAGGTAATCTCGCTCCAAGCTTATCATTTTATAGTATTTGTAATAGAACTAGCATTGTGTAAGTTGTTCTCTATGACGTAGTCGGTATCAATTCCTCCTACGTCATAAAATTGGTGCATTTTATTTTTACAGCATTTGAATGTGAATTCATCTTTAAGACTAGAGGTAATGACTATGTCTCTGTGTAACTAAAGTTGTCCCCGCTAGAGTTCACCTTTACGAGTACAGTTAACCTTTATAACAAAATAGTGACATCTGATCAAAAGACATTGGAAACCATTTCACGCAACATTTGTAAACTAATCACTTCTCCGCTCCAAGATTAGCATTTTGTAACAGAGCAGTTGTAACAGAACAATCACTTTATAAAAGAGTGTTCTCTATGACGTAGAGTTGATATCTAGAACTAGAATCGATCTCTATGATTACAATTTGATGTCTTTGACTAGAGTTTAATCTTTAGGACTAGAGGTGATGATATATATGTCTCGACTTAGTGAAACTAGAATTGTTCTCACTAAAGTTAGTCACCATCTCAAAACAGTGATATCTAATGTTAAGTCTCAAACTAGGGAATTGCCTGTACTATAAGTACCACAGCAATGGTATTCAATCTGGGGCACTTCCCAGAACACTCAAACCAGAACCAATTTAGAAAAGTTAATTTCCCAAGTTGGTTCTACCGGGAATCGAACCCGGGACTTCCGCATCCACTACCGCAACCGCTTAAACTATAAATAGTTAGACCACTGAGGTCGTCAGATCTGATCAGAAGAAATCGGAAAGCGCCCAAGTTTTGGGCGTATGTACACTAATTACTACGTCACTTGTTCGCGCCAATATTATCACGGACGCACAACAGTAACGTGCGAAGTTAAATCAAATACAACAAACCTCTTCCTTACTTCATTAAAAACCAATGTTTTCCTAATAAACTAACACGATAATTATTTTAAAAACATCGGAAACCTGTTTCCAGAATAAAAGTGAAATGTGCCGGTTGAATTAACTTTCGTTAATTCATTTGTTAGTGTTATTCGACACGCGAACTTGTAGTTAGGTTATTTCTATTGGCGTTCTATTTTTAGATATTTCGCGAGGTAAATAACTGCAAGGCTAATCTATACACAGGATGTCCATGATCGAATAACTTCCCAAAAATACTGGTATAATTCAGAGCACGTTCAGCTTGACACTATATACCGCTGTAACTTTTTGTAGGGTAAGGATGATGGTGAAATTACAGCCACATGGGACTTGTCAACTCATGTCTCAGGGTGGGGCAGTGCCCCTCAAATTTTTGCGATTAAAACCTCTGAGTGGCATCGCAACTGCTATGGACAGGCATGTCGCTTATTACTCCATTAGTCACTTGGTATCAGAAAAAAGTTAGTAAGATAATGTTAATAGCAACATCTCTAGCCAAGACAGGTAGCTGTAAAGTTACCTAACTGGGTGACGAAATACTTTCATAGATTTCTCATTGATGTCGTTAGGGCTAAAAAAGCCGGTGAAAACCAAATACAAAGATCCGACAATAAGCACTTGGAAAAATTCATGAGATCCGCTGGTTCGTGCCCTGGCGTAGTTGGCATAGCGTCTGCCACGGTTTGCTAGGAGACGTCGGTTCGAATCCGGCCGGATCGACGAATTTAAATATTAAATTTAGTGGAGTAATTTTACAAAAATGTAAAAATAACAGTTCAATACCAAAGATAATGTTAGTTACATTTTTATTATAATTTACAAAAGGTTTGATAATTAATTAACACTATTTGTATATATGACAGTGAAAACTGAAAAACATCTCAGAAAATATCTCATTTGGGTACAACAAAAAATGTATTGCAGTAGTTACGGTAAGACCCACTTAGGACATCTAAAAATCGAGACACTTAGCAACAATATTTATTACCCACATTTCCCCAGTTTACGTGCTCAGCGGGGCGAGACAATACAGTTAGACCATCATGTGTTGTTTAGTGAGTAGCTTAGTGTATACCATGTGCTTACGGTGCCTTGGAAATGGTAACAATAACAATACGGGATATTGTACTGTTGTCTTGATTGATTTGTAAAGTAAGTGTATTAAGGATGAATGACCCTGTGGTATAACTGCCTCTAATACGAGTATGTATATTCAGATTGTAACAAAAAGACGTAACAACACTAGGGGCTCATTGTAATCAGGAATACAAAGAGGTGGATGCAGAATGACTTTTGAAAATAAAAAAAACTTTTATTTGATTTCAAATTCGGGACTTAATCACGTATAAAAACAAATTTTATTTATATTTTAATTTAAACTTTCACGATTTTCACACAGTATTTGATATAAAACCTATTTTAATTTCCTCGACGTCCTGGACGTGTTTCAACGTCCATGGTCTCGGACGTGTTCGAATATTGGTATCTCTTAAAGATCGAAAATTTCATCAAAAACGACACTCTGAAGCATTGTCCTCGGGAGGCTGAAAACATTGACCGAAGTAGCGATAACTTTCAGCGCGGTGTTTCGCTTATGACCAGTGGAGGCACAAAGTTACAGTACAGGTTAAGATCGCGTGATCTGCTCGCGTGAACATGCGGCATCCTTAATAATAAAAGTGACCAAAGTCGTAAGTAACATTTTTGGAAAGCTGCCGAAATTGGTTCATTTCGATTTCGTTTTTACATTTCTGATGATTATCCTCTTTTGTATTTCAAGTGTCAGCGATGCCATTCAAAAATCATTAACTGATTTTCTTGTTCAATAAAAACTTTATAATTGTTATACCAGCTATTTAAAATTTAAATGTGAAAGTTAAAGTTCAAAAGAATTTAAACCACACGAGGCGTTAAGACCTAAAAGCATGCGCAACAATAAGCATTAAACTACTTTAAAAAGAAACTGACTACTGTTAAAGTAACAGATTAAACATTTACATAAAAAGTGACTTAAAAGACTTACCGACAATTTCATTTTTACTGCTATCGCTGATGATATGGTACGATTAACTCGCTTTCTAATAACACAAAAGCTTGATGTAAAATTAGTAAAACGGTTGAACAATGTGACAAAGAAATCTTCCCATGAAACGTTTTTGTAGTTTTCTCCTGAGACTTGTGTAGCGTACGGACAGAACACAAATAACGCCAAATTAAATGTAAGAAAATTATTTAGAGTGACGATTCCCAAAGTGGTTTCTATTTCGACCCCTAGGGGTGCTCGCCAATCTGCAAGGGGTCCATGCCAGCATAAAAAAGTAGGGGTTATATATTAATATATTGATATTTTATTTCCTTTGTCAATTGCATTTATTATAGATATCTTTCAAAAGAATAGTACAGTTTTAGAATAGTTTTGTTTGAGATATAAGAATTGTCTTCTTGTAAATTGTATTTTGTTTGTTGTATGGTTTTTTAGAGATTTTATTTCATGTTAAAACGTTAACTTGATATTGGATTGAGTATTAACTTGATTCA